CCAAGTCACTATTTGCTGATGACTGATTGAAAATCACTAGGTGACCCCGGGGTGAGTCCACTCCCTTCCTGGCCTCTGTTTCCACATCAGCAAAACGGGAAAGGATGCTAGAAGAGACACCACGTGAGGTCCCTTCCAACTTTAAGAATTCCTTGGTGAGTGATCCCCCAAGACCTTTTCTCTGAGTCTTAATCTGATTTTTCTCCCTCTACTCTTAGATTCTGGAATTTGATGCCCCAACCATCTGACCCCATTCATTCCTGCTCCTCTATCTTTTCCCAACATTGTCTCTACCCCAACCCTCTTCTGCTAACTCTAGGCCCATTCTGATCTCTTGAAATCTGTCCATCAAATTAGAGGTCTCAACCGCTCGTCGGGGGAGGCTGGGCCCCGCCCCTTTCTGCTGTGTGTACATACACGCCTGGACCCATCTGCGAAAGACGATGAGCCAGGTCCCAAGAGGAATTCCAGCTCTTGTCCAACTTAATAGGAGAAGGGATGAGAAGAGAGGGACTGAATTTCAATCACAATGTGATCATTGGCCCTTTTGAAGTTTTGCTGAGCTTTTTTTCACCTGGTTGGCTCTGTATCACTAACCAAATGCTTGTCTCACAAATCGGTTTTGGCCACAATTCAAATTTAATTACATTCTAGCTAAGTGAAAGCAAGCCATAAAGCAAAAGGGAGAGAGAAAGAGAGAGGGAGGGAGGGAGAGAGAAACAGAAAGAGAGAGAGAGACAGAGAGAGAATGTAGCTTATGTTTATAGATCAGATAACTCTATTTTAAATCTTCAAATCTTCCCAAGAGGAGCGGTCACCGTGAACACCGCACAGATAGGTCAGCCTTGAGATAGATGTGAAGCAATAACCAGCTTTCTGTAATTTGAAACTAGTGAATACTGAACACCAAGGCTGGGGGGAAGTTGGGAGGTTGGCAGAGTTTGACTCAAATGTTCCTGCCTCCTGGTTCTGTGCCTGGGAGTGTTCCTTGGTCTTCATTTAGCTACCACCTAAGGTATTCAGCCTTTCTTCCTATATCCCCTGTCATATTCTTTTATAAGGAAACTAATTCACACTAAAGCAAAAATGACTAACATTAACTTACACTTCCTGTTTAGAATTGCATTTTACTAGAAATCACACACACACACACACACACACACACACACACACACACACACACACACCAGTACCTAAAAGTCAAAATAAGTAGTCAAATAAAACAGCCTAAATGGAAACAAACAAACAAACAAAACCTAACCAGAGAATGCCCTTCTTAATCCATTTCTCAACCTGTCCCATCAATTCCTGGTGGTGCATTCCCACTGATCTGGGTCTGTCTGGCTTATACAAAGGAATCCCAGGAGGACATGGGAGCTGGACTAAGAGCAGAGATATGTGTGGCTCTGGTGCAGCTCTGTCAGGGGTTGGGTGGTCATGTCACTAGACATAGAGGCAACCTCAGATCCACAACTAATGAGATGCTGGTGTAGGAAGGTGGGGAGAGAGCAGATGTGAGGTCTAGGGTGGCTTAATTCCTTAGCTATGGAAAATGAAAGCAGAAAGCCAGTTGGGGGAAAAGTGATGACATTTGTGGAGGACAAGATGCGACTGAGATGCTCATGGACACCCAGCGGGGATCTTCACATGGCCCTGCTTGGTTCACAGTGTATGCTGAGCTGAGACACACATTTGGTAGCAAATAAGTGCATGGAGTGAGAACAGGGCCCACCATCTTTTTAAGGACAGCTCAGGAGGCTGAGAAGGTGTGGTCCAAAAGATCGGAGAAGAACCAGTGTGTCATAAAAATCATGGAGGATGTATTCTTAAAGCACTCAAAGTGTGAAGTAGTAAGATACAGCAAGAACGAAAAGGAGCGTCTGGGTTTCTGCATGTCTGTGTGTTCAGTGGATGTGGAGATTATGAGCTCACTGCTGTCCTGAGCATGGAGGCTTCAGTGGAAGGATTGGACTGGAGTCCATAATGCAATGAGTTGAGGAATGAATGGGGGAGAGGACACGAGAAGAGGGTGTAAGACACTCTGCACTCTTTTAGAAAACATGACCTTTAATGGAAGAAGAGAGAGGAGATGCTTCCCTGGAATGGCGGACACCTAAACCTGCTTCCGTGCTGCAGGAAGGAGGCTGATGGAGAAGAGGGTGGCTTGGTGAAACAAATTTCTCCTAAAGATAGGAGGATCAAAACTCCCCATAATGAATAGAGGGATTATGATTGGGCAGAAAAGGGGAGACTCCCTTCTTTATGCAAAAAAAAAAGGAAAGAAAGAAGGGATTGATTTTTAATGAGGCTGGGGAAGCCCATGCCTTGTAGCCTGATTCTTTGTGGTTATCAGAGAAGCCCGATCGCCTACCAAGAGGAAGCTGGGCGAGGGTCATGGCCATCAGAGAAGTTGAAGAAATTCAACAGGATCCCTATGAGAGTGAGAAAAAAGAGATTTTCCAAGTCTTAGTCCCAAGAGGTGACAAGAAGTCAGATGAGGTGTGAGATCCAAACTCGGTTTCAGGTTCAGTATGTGACTTGTCTCTTGAGGGCTTGGCAGCAGAGGTACCTGGGGAGAGAGCTGAATGAACTCAAGGATGGAGGCTTTTCAATTGCATATGGCAGACCAGCAAGGAGTTGAGGATGCGGGCAGCTGTGTAAGGAGGTGGTGAATAGAAGGATCCGAGAGCTAGATCACAAAAACCATGGAGCAGGGGTCAGAGAAGAGAGGAGTAAACAAATAGAGAGGGAAAAGAAACAAGGAGGGAGAGAGTGGGGGAACGCTGTGAAGACTGAGTGCAGGGGATGCGTGTGTTGGGTGGGTAGAGTAGCTTTCCGTTTACTCCATGAATATCGTCCACAGGACATCCTTAATTCTATGCTGGCTACTCCCTAGCATCTCTCCCTCCTTCCTCCATTTTCCTCTCTCTTGCCTCCTTTAACAGGACTCAACATGATTACAAAGGTACACCTGCAAACATCTTCCTCCCCCTAACTGGCTTCAAATTTAATCTACACTCAAAATAGAAATTATTCTGCATTACATGCTATTTGGAATTCTATGAACTTCCTCCTCTGTTTTCATTGCCACAGGTAATCAAAGCCAAGTTATATTTTGATCTTAAATGGCAGATATAATCACATCCACTGAGCAATCCCATTCACCCTCTGGGCCTCCCACCCCACCACCTTTACCATGAAGGGGATGAGATAAGTAAGTCCAAAGCTTTTGCCCAGCTCTGTTGAGGTTCTGGGTCTCTGAGCTCCAACAGCTTGGTCTAGCTCAGCCTCAACTAGACCACATGCTAGCACCACTCCCGTTCAGGACCAAGGCCAGCGCTCAGTGGCACCAGGCAGAAGGGCTGCCTTTCCAGACAGGGATGCAAACCTTGTTTTAACCTCTCTAGACCCAAAGTCTCAGGAGAACTGTGCAATTAACCTGGGTCAAGACTGTACAGCCCTACTGCCCGTTGCTGGCCGGATAGGCAGAGTGGTGTGAAATTGCCGAGAGTCAAAGCAGAGGGAGGAATCATAATGAGATTTCTGGACCGTGGGTTTTCCTCCACGCACTTGCTCTCTCCCTATCCTCTTTACTCTGCTCTCCAACCAGCTCTACCAACTCCTAGTGGTTCATTCCAGTGATATGTGTCTGCCTAGGGTTGTATGAGGGCATCCCAGAAGGAAACAGGAGCTAGACTAAGAGAGAGACCAATAGGGGAGCCGGGAAAGAAGCCAACGTAGGTCTGAAGATGACCAGTTTGTCACTGTGAACAATTGGTATACAATGAGAATTTCTGGGACATGTGTTTCAGAATTATCCCACTTGCAGAATGATGAGGTCATTAATCATCAGTCTCCCATTCATCCTTGGTGGGAAATTTCTCTCTGGGTGTTAACTCTCTAGCACTGACAGCCTTTTTGGTATGAGGGCCGAGTGTGCCATTACTGCCAGAGGAACCCTCAGGCGGGGAGATGCAGGTGCTTGCAATAAGAGATTCTCAGCAGGCGCAGAACCAGTGAGTGGTAAGGGGATATGAGCAGGGCCCTGATAGAATCCACCATGCATATTTAACACCCTCAAAATTCTATGGTTTCCTTTGTGCAAATAAAGGGTAAAAAGAATCATTCATCTGGGAAGGGCTCACAGGAAAAGAGCCCTTTTGCTATGAACATCTGAGCCTTCCCTTCACATTCTGAAAGTCTTTCCTGAATTAAGAAGGCAGAGTCTTCCTGATAGTGTCAGGCCCCATAGTTACTATGGGCAAGGTTTTCAACCTCTGTGCATTTCAACTTCATGCTTTCAAAGAGGGAATACTAGTGGCTACCACCTTGAAGAGTTGTCATTTATAATTAAATGTAGTGGGCAAGTGGTCAAAGTAGGAAGAGGGGCTGGGGCTGGGTTCACTACTGGAGATACCTTCGATTCCTCTAGTAAATTGTCTAGTAGTCTGTGTTATAGCATAGAAAGGGGATTAGGGAACTGGAACTGGGTTTGAGTCAGCTTGTCAATCTTGTGAATGGTGAGCATGATGGGGAGGGCTTTATAGCAGGGGCACACTGAGCTCTATGGTAGGACTCTCTTGGGTGAAGGTGAGACCTCTTGTTTGGAGGATCTGATGTCAAACTAGATTAGCTGTTAATGGGAACAGGACCCGGACTCCAGGACAGAGAACCACCAAAGTTAAGAAGAATGTTCCAGGACAGTCCCAGAAGGAAAGCCAAATGTGAGTTATGATCCAGGGCAAAAATTGGGGGAGGGGGACCCTGATGGTGTGTGTGGTGTGTGGTACTCACATCATGAATTTCACTTAGAGATGAAGTAGGAGCAATATAAGAAATATTCATTTCAACCTTACATGGTGGAAGTAGGAATATATGAATATATATATATATATATATAAGGAATAATTTATATATATATATATTAGGAATAATTTATAAATATATATTAGGAATAATTTATATATATATATATATATTCCTTGGCAAAAACTGGCATGACTTGGTAATCAGATTCATTCAGAAGAGTAACACACTCACCTTGATTAGTAGAAAAAATAATTGTCAAGGGAGGGAGAGGTTATCCCTCTGCCTTCAAGTCACATGCATGAATCCCAATGGACCCTGAGAAATTAGGGGTTGGCACAGAAAAACATAGATGTTTTCCATCAGGACAATTTCTTGGATGAAAGGAAGGGTTTGGAGATTCAGAAATGGACGTGATTGTAAGGTGTACAATATTGGGAACCAATGTCCAAAGCATCCATTCCATGAAAACAGAGAAGAGCAGAGCAGCAGTGGGGTACCATGGGGTGGGTTGGTAAAGAAGAGAGAGCAAAATAAAGCAGTAAGGGAAGAGGATGGAAAGACTCGGTATTTACAAAGGAATGAAGGCGTCTGGTGTGTAGACCTCTGGGCTGGGCGAGAGGTTAGTGCCGAGCCAGTCTGGGGTTGCATTACTGGAGGGAGGTTGCTCCTCACCCAGGGCCTGCTTTGCTGATCCTACCACCTCAGCACCACGCTAGCCCCGGTGTGATTCTCTGGGAGTCAAACCTCGGCCCACTCTCCGTACAAATGCTGCAAGGAATCCAGCTCCATCTCTTCAAGGACTCCTCTCTCTGGCAGCTGCTGCTCACCACCCTCATCACAGATGGCATCTGAAGTTGGGGACAAGGAGTGGAGTTAGGGAAAGCTTCTTTGTTTGGAGGGGACTCATAAACTGAAAAGATGGGGACAAGTGGGGAGAGGGAAAATCTTGGGGAAAAGCAACCGGAGAAGGAAAGAGGGGTTACAAGGAAGATTTATGACACAGAATAATAGATGGAGGTGTCCCCTGAGGGTCCATGATGAATGAGAAGGGTGACGAGTGTTGTCCTTGGCAGTGTGCTCCACACCACACAGATGGAGAGCTGTCTGTGACATCAAGGAAATTGCGTAAGAAAGCCATGCAGCCACGGGGTGGGAGTGGGGTACAAGCATCTGCCCTACTGTGTAAGCACATAGCAGAAGCCTACTGGACCCTGTTTGCAAGGTACTCAGCTGCTTCTTGGGGCACTTACCAGTGTATCACATGCAACCAGCCATCTGCCTGTCCATCTTCCCTGTAAGACTAGATCCTCTGTGAGAGCAGCTGTCTGGTCTTATATATTGTTTATCTTTGAGAAAACTTGAAGGCCAACCTGAAATGTAAGGAGCTCTTTAAAAAGTTTATGGGGAAAAAAAAAGTCATCGGTGCACAGGGATGTTCCGGCGGGGGTGTTGAGCAGATGTGAGGGTGAGGGGGTGTGAGGACAGGGAAGTCTTGGTAGAGAGCCCAAAACATCAAGACAGAGAGGTGTTCCAATGCAGTATTTTCCAAACTCCTCTTCTCTGACTGGTGCAGAAGAGCCAAAAAGCATGGAAGCTAAAATTATACCTTCTCCAAGTCCCATCTCAGTCCTATCAAAAGTCCATAATTATACCTGGGAATATACATTTTATTTTCCTCCGCAATGATACTGATGATCAGGTTTGAGAATCTACAGGAATCTAACGCATTTACAAGCAACTGATTCTTAGGATCGGAAAGTCCTTTGGGAGCATCTGGAATAAATCGTCGCTTGCAAATCTAAAAGGTTGAGACCTGGAGAGAAGGGCCTTACCCAGGACCGTACTACAAGCTGGTACTCCCGCCGGGAAGATGTCAGCTAGGTTCTCTGCAACGCCTGCACAATCTTGGTGGTTCAGACGAAGTTATTCCCCAGCGACGCCCCAAGGCTTCCCAGAGCGCGGTGCGCAGTCCAGCACCACGTGCTCCTGGAGCACGCCGGCCTGAAGCTGGGTGAACTCCCAAGTCCTGCACTGCGGTGAGTTCCGCGACAGTGGGCGGCCCGCGGGGTGGACTGCTGCAGTGCCCGCCTGCAGTGGCCCCCGCCCCGCCCCCTGCCCCCTGCGGCACTCGGATCCCGCCTTCCCCCTGCCGCGCGGGCTTATCCCTATCACGCATTATCCAACTTCAGGCTGATTATAAATTACTATGGTGCTGAGATGGTGACCCCTTCCCTGGCAGTTAGTCCGCTGCTCGCTGATGGATTCCCTTGCTAAGGGACCGCACAGGCAGAGGAAGTAGATTAAAATATAATGTAATGCATTGAAATTTAACGCAATGCTATATAATATTCAGCCAGATCTGCATATTCACATTCTCCGCACCCCCCCCTCCCAATTTCTCCTAGAGGTTCCCATTGGGGTTTCCCTCCTTGTTAAGCTTCTATTGCTGCCGGACAAAGAAATTTAATGACTTGAGGGGCTTAGAAAGGCCTTCAGCATGTCATCTAATTCAGCGCCCTGTTCCTGGCCCAAGAATATTGAAATCTTGAAGGGCAGGTTATTTTTGTTCTGCCCTTGAACTTGGTGAAAAAGGAAGGAGGAAGACTGAGATAGACCTACTGGGTGGTCTCCATTTCACCCTTGACCTCCTCTGTCTTGTCTTCTCCCATCTGGCCTTTCATCCTCAAATCTGCGCCTCTGAGCTAGGAGAATCACTTGGTTTTTCTCTGCTTCCTCCCCCAACTCTCCCTACTGATTTCCCAGTCTCAGCAACAAGCCCCGCCCACTCTCTTGTTTTCATTAGCATCCCTCTCTCTTGATTGGGAGCCAAGCTGATAGGGAATAATGTTAGATAAATGCCCAGTCTCCAGAGGCTTCAAATCGTGGAAGGACAGGTACCAGAGAAAAGAACTCAGTGTGTTGAAAAGAATGACAGCCGAAGAATCCCATTTAATTTGATGGCACGATGAATATTTAAAGTTTTATAAAGAAATACAGGAAAGCAATCAGGCTTATTCAGGCGTGTGCTCCGGGGAGCAGAGTACGCTCCCCATGTGTTGGCAAGATGGGGATGGGAGATGGAGGATGTGGGTGGGGGTGGGGGACCCACACATAAATACTCCATATTCTTCCCATTCTTTGTATTGAGGTGAAAAAGAGCTTACTAGTGCAATTCAAGAAGAAACAGGAGGGAGAAATCCTCCCAGATAATTATCATAACGTGCTGACACCCTAAACAGTTCCTTTTTAAAATTGAATTTCTAATATCATCTCTTTAGAGATTATAATATTGAGACATGAATCCCTTGGCAAGTGATTCAGGAATCATACACCCTTTGTGATAAAGGCACCTGCCACTGAAACAGGAAGGGACATAAATCTCCCACCACGTGTGCGGAATGAGTAATAGTGTCACCCCTCTGGCAGAGTGGGGTCATCAGATTCATCCCAAACTGTCACTCTAAGGACTATCAACTCATTATACATGTGTATCAGACATTCACATTGGGTACCAGCCATTATGTCATATTCTGGCATCAGAGAACTGGGTGAGAATCCACCCCCTGCCTTCAGGAAGCTTCCAGTCTTCTTGGAAAGACAGATTGCATGCCCACAATACGTACTGCTAGACTAGCACAGAGCAACAACAAAAAGACAAGCTAATGGCTAATGGGGCATAGAGCAGGAAATCTATCAAAGCTGGTTGAGAGAACAGGGAAGGCTTCAGATTAGCCCCTGCAGCAGTCACAGCCATGGCCCTCCTGCCATCTCTTAAACGCTCACTGTTATCCAACCAAGTCACGACTGTGAGCACCTGAGACCTAGGCCTGAGGATTATTTCCTGGTCAAGGAAGCCAGGTGTGTTGGAGAGTTAATGTTCCTGGAAGTCTTTAGCCAATGACACATGGCAAGTCAGTGGATAAATACTGCAGTTCCTTGCCCTTTAGTGGACAACTCTCGGGTGTGCTCCACCCTGCATCCCAGGCATCCCTGCTGGGAATGAGTTCCACCTGACAATACTTGCTTGGTAACACATACTTTATTGGAGTCTTTTACTTTTGGTTTTACATTTGACTTTCTATTTCCCTGCTGACATGCTCTAGGTCACCTCCCAAATAAAATATGGTGTACTCATACTCCTTTCTAAAGGCCTGGGTCTGGAGGAACTCCAACTAGCCCAATGCCCATAGCTAACATTAATTAAAAGTCAACTGTGGCAGGCTGCTCTGCTGTTTTTATACTGTGTCTAATCCCATGACAATCCTAAAAGGTACGAAACACTGTTTCCATTGTACAGTTGAAGAAACTGAGATCCAGGGAGCAAAAGTGACATCTTTATTAAAAAAAAAAAAAAAAAAGTGACATCTTTGAGATCACAGAAAAAGTTGGAGACCTTGAGAAAAATAAATTTCCCAGGTATTATCAGTGAATTTCTTTTCCTCTCCTCTGAACGACTCCCAAGACAAAGAGAACAAAGTGTGATATGTAGGAAGAAACACACAAATGCACATACATGTGAGATTGCCTGTAAGCTTCCAGGTGGGTCAGAGCTCCCCGTAGAATTACCCATGAGCTCTAGAACAAGAAACTCTTGTAAGAAGGAATAGGATGGCCGGGCTCGGTGGCACACACCTGTACTCCCAGTGGCTTGGGAGGCTGAGGCAGGAGGATCACTAGTTCAAAGCCAGCCTGAGCAAAAGCAAGACACCAAGCAACTCAGTGAGACCCTGTCTCTAAATAAAATACAAAATAGGGCTGGGGATGTGGCTCCGTGGTCAAGTGCCCCTGAGTTCAATTCCCAGTTCCCACCCACTCCCCCAAAAAAGAAAGAAAGAAAGGAATTGGACTTTAAAAAAATAGAGGCCAACATCTGTTTCTAGGGATCTAGGGAGGAAGGAAAACTATAAAAGAAAGGAAGGACAGGGAAATGAGTGAGAAACCTACCACAATTTGATTACAGTCACTGGAACCAGTAAGGGTACAGAGGAGGATAACGTAGTAGGGTGTAGGACAAGAAAGATGCTGTGGTTTAGTAAAAACTGGGACGTTTGGGAAATAGCCCAAGAGAGTCCAGACCCTGGGCGAGGTGTGAGATTTCCTCTCTGGCCTCCACCATAGATTCACACTCAGAAGCTGCGACCTTTCTCCATCTTGGTCACTTGGCCTCAGTGCCCCAGCTCCTAGGCCCCCAGGTCCACCCCCACTTCAGCCATCCAGATGCCTGGTCACATCCTGGACTTTCATCAGATAAAACGGTCTCATCTAGAAAACAGAAATCACCCTAAATGTTTCAGACAGAGGAGAATTTAATTCAGGGCACGTATATCAAAGTTGATGTTTGGATTTTGAGAATCACAAAGGGCACTATTACACCTAGAGTCCATGGAAGAGAAAGAACAATGGGAAAGTGTTGTGACCCACAGGCCAGGACCCTGCACTCCCTGACGCAGGCATGTGGACGCTGGGCAGAACCCTAGGAGCTCACAACCCTGATGCTGCAGCTACCAAAAGCAGGAAATGACTGTCACCTTCTTCATGCCTTCTCATGTCATATTAGAAGGCCTCAAAGACCCGTGAGACAGGAGGGACAAATTCCCCTGTCCTACAGCACAGCAGGATGACTAACTCTAGTTGACGATGGCTTATTACCTATTTCATAAAGAACTAGCAAAGAAGACTTCAAAGTGCACTCACATGAAGAAATGATGAGGGTCAAGGAGATGTATATGCTAATTACCCAGATTTGATCATTACACATCGTAGACATGCATTGAGTTATCAAACTCTACCCACAAGTAGAGTTCACCAGTAGGGTCACCCATGCTCCATACAGCCTCACTCTCTCCTGACTGTCCCCAAATCCTCAAGCACACACAGTTGGTTCTTTCTGCTGTCCCCAGGTTGGCAAACAGCAGGACAAATCCCTTGGCACTTGCTGAGTTCCACAATAATGCCGTGTGAGCCCGAGGCCACCCTTCTGCCTGGAGTATCTGTGTTGGCCTTCTGATGGAGGGCCACCCTCATCCCCTAGGGCTGCTCAACCTTCTGCTCCCCTCAAATTCTTCCTCTATCCCTGTCTCCCACCGAAAAAGATCCAATCCAGCCTGTATCTCACTTCCCTCTACCTCAAAAACATCAGTGTGGTCTCCTTGCCCTTTGTCCATGTCTGCTAGTGTCTGAGAAAGAGGGAGCCCTCCTTCTTTCTAGGGTTCCCTTGCCGCCCTCCCCCTGGACGGTCTCTCCTGCTTGCTTTCTCCCGTGGCTGCTTGGCTTTGGCTCACTACCAAGTGTTTCCCACCCCCCTTTCCTTCACTCCAATTTCTCCTGCGCTGCCGTCCCACCTTCCACCCTTCTTTCTCAGCTAAACTTCTCAAAAAAGTATTATCCACTCACCGCCTCTACTTCCTCACCTCCCACTCGGTTCCAACCACTAGCAATCTGGTTCCCACACCCGTAACACTGCAGAAATTGCTCTCTTAAAGGCCACTGATGACCTCCAAATTACCAAACCTGACAGCTCTGCTTTATCAGCTACCGCCTCCCCCAGACCTCCTCCTCTGCCAAGTCGAGTAGGTTATTTAACCCAGTTCCGAGCCGGACGTCCAGCTGGTGTGCTGTGGCTCACAAGTGTGCTGCAGATCTGTCACAGTCTGGGCCAGGACATGTCATTGAGACATGCGAGTGATCAAAATTTGGAAATTCTTCAGGACCGCCGCCTAAGCCCCCTTTGTGGTCCCCTCTACTGCCTAGCCGCCCAAGCTCCTGTTCTAGAACCACAAGATGGACCTCCTCCTCGTGGAATAATGAGACAGAAAGATGTTTGGGGTTGGTCAAGGGCTTCTGATCTTACTGGTTGGGGTCCAGGTTATGCCATGGTTAAATACATTCAACGCCACCTGTTTATCACTGTGCTGTGACGACAGTTCCTTCCGTACTCAGTGCCGCTGCGTGAAATCAGGCAAGTCTGACCAATCACTTGTGGTGAAGAACAATCTATTTACCCTTCGTGTGTCATGAAAATATCATTTTCTATGTCAGTCCTGGCATGGAATATTTGGA